TCATTGTAAAGCATTATATATTTATACTGAGGCCGCGCGGCTAAATGTACGAAGACGACAAGCATTAGTGTCATTTAATCCGCGTTCGGCCGTTGTCACCTATGATTAAACTGCAAGTCACGAGGCAACCTATTATTTTGCTGTCACTATAAATGAACATTAGGCAAAAGAGGCAGATAATTACATAGTGTTGCATTGTGGGTTTTTATCGTGAGACCTGACGCAGATGCTGTAATTAGAAAGTGTATGAACGTATGAGAAAGAGTAAAAAGATGAAATGGGGGGAAAAAAAAGAGTTGTTGGATCACTTTTATGTGAAGTTTTTTTTCAAAATTACAACACACGAAATCCTAAATGATAAACGTTTCAACACAACATCAGTCGGACTAATTCCCAACCCTCAGCTCAATGCTGCAGCCATAACTGTTCTCCACTGTGAAAGAGGAAACACTTACTGTAGGTGGGCGGTGCCATCATGTCAGGGAAAATACACTGTGCATTAGACACAATCCAATCTGTCTCCGGTGTGTGTGTGTGAGTGTGTGTGTGTGTGTGTACAGGCAGCAGAAAACACCGAAAGCAGAGAGTCTCACTGGGATAACTCACACACTGTCGGACCAACACAATTCATTACAGGCCTACTTACCCGATTAACTGATCTCCTTTATCAACTGCTCAGCATTAAACAGCACAACACTATCCCCAGCTACCTTAATACTACACTCTCTTAGCCCACACACACTTTGCTTGTTTTCAAAATGTAAACCCTCACCTGCAGACTGTCATCTGGCTGTTTTACATCAGTGACAAGTTGGCAACACGCTTCATCCTCTGCGTCCAAGTGAACCATCACAATAGCAGTTGTAGTTTTGAATGAGCGTCACCTCGTCCAAATACTGCGCAAAATCATTTAGGTGAAATTATCATGACATTAAATATTTAAAAAATAAAACAGGCCCGTTAGCTAGTTTCCTAGCGTGGCCAGAGGACACAGCTCGTCTCACAACATCACCATCACAGCAGCATAATGATTTCCCTTTCTTGTTGTTTTCTGTGGATCTCACTACAGGCTATTTGAAAAGAAAATCACTTTTTACAGCATTAATTTTTAAAGTACTGCCGTCGAATCGGCACCCGATTAGATACATGCGGAGAAAATGCTAAATAACATAAACGCACTTTCCTCTCCAGGAGAACAACAAAAGTCGATTTACAGAATAATTCGAATTTCACAAGCGCACTCAGCGCACATCAGTGCGACGGCGAATACGTGAGCTGTGGTATTTCAAGAGAACATCTTCCCCTTTTCACTTCGCCATGTGTGCCCGTTGGTGCCACGTTGTGCCAAGTCTCCCTGTGTGAATGCAGATTACGGACAGATGGGTTTTTGGCACGGCTAGGCTTCCAGTCACAACCCAGACAAAGGGAGTCTGTCAGGGCCAGGGACCTGCTATCTCACTCCTGCATGGGGCACTGACACTGTCAAACACCTACCAGCACTGGCTGTCATAAAAAAAAAAAAGCATTTTAATCATGGAGATGAATAGAGACGTGCAGTACAGACCCCAGAATATACGGTGCCTGAGAAGGTGCAAATGAATATAGTCACTGAGTGTCAAACATCAAGTCCGATATGTGAAAATATTCATAACAGTACAGAGTTCACCCTCAGGCGAGGAAGGAGGGCGGGGCTGTGACTGGTGTCCATGATGACATCACATCACGCTGCTGGCAGGTGTGTGTGTAATTGTGTAAGACGCCATTGAAACAGTTAAACCATAAAAACGTCAACAAACCAAACACAGGTAGTGAAACCTGCAAACAAACAAGACGGCTATTTTTTTTATCCTGTTGAATCTTAGTAATCGCCCGTCTAATTTCTCTACAAACTAAAATATGTTTTTTCTTTCTCAAGCAGAAGATCATTTAAAAAAAAGAAAGAGCATCTATGTAGCTCTCAATGAAAAAGAAGAAAACACAGGAAGCAGTACGACGCAGCTACAACAGATATGCTGGAAAATATCCAGTGTGTCACTGATACCACTGACAACTAATATTACCTGTCACAATGTCAAGTCAAACATTTCCATCACTTGTATCCAACACTGACAAAAACCCTACACATACTGTATGTATATGTGCTAATATTTTGTGTTAATACAGGCGGAAAAATGGTTAAAATGTAAAGTGGTTTGACAGCCCTTATTTAAATACAATGGAATTCTAAAAAAGGAGCCATATTGTCTCAGATATATCTCCCTCCTGTATTTAACATTATTTTCCATACAACACATGCTGGTCTCAGCAAAGTGTTCAGAAGAAAAAGCGTGCAAATGAGCCAATTTACATTCCAACGGAAAGTTACCGGCAAAGACCAAACATTGTTATGTAAATGTCTAACCTTTGGAGCACTTCACAAGAGGGAACAGATCTCTATCATTTTAACACCCGTCACATCATACGAGCTCAAATCTCAGAGGGCACGGGATCAATTGCGAGTGCCGCGTGTAAATACATTTCAGAGATTGTTTGATATCGTCACCGGGGAGTTCCAGGCGCCTCCTAAAAGCCGAGAGAAGACGGAATACAGCGCAGCCTACCAGCAAGAGTGATATGGCTCCATTTGCTTCAATGTGACGCATTGATTTTGAAATGAAGAATACAGCATGTCATTTCCAGCCCGGCATTTCAAATCAAAATGATCATCTCAAGGGCTGTTTCTGAGCTGAACACATTCAGACGCGTTCTTCTGTGAACTGCAATATGAGCAGCCATTAGAGAATACAGAGACTGGTGACATTACGCATGTTTTCTAATGTACTTTGTCACAAAAAAAGACTTTGTTGATGATGTCACCGCTGATCTGACTTTATATACAGAGTGTAGCCTGGGGGAAGGAATCAAAAAAACGAGGCAGGTTTTCGCAGAACAAATGAGGGAATGTTTACTAAAAAATATTTTAGGATTCACAATGAAGCGTGCCAAACATCAAAGCTGCCTTTCTTCAGATTTCTTAAGTCCAATTATGCAAAAGAGTTTGAATGAAAATATTCAAGTTGGACAAATGGATACACAGCAACCTCAAAACTCTATATTCAAAATGATTACTCCATGAACGACCTCTGGTTGAAGGATGCAGTGTACAGCTGCAGGACTGACACACACACACACACACACATGTTGTGCGCCGCATGCACAGCAAGGTCAACCATCTGTCCAATGGGGTGTTGCAGCCGTGCACAGTGAAAGCAATGATGAAAATAAGTTAAAATAATAATAATAAAAAAATGAAGACAGAAATCCGACCAGTATTTAACAGCCACGGTGAATTAAAGAGTGATTAGCAGCTCCGGATTAACATTATCAGTGAAAAAACAAGTCTTCCTGCAGCACGGACGAGCGCCAGCAAAACAACAAAATTGAAACAGATTTCAAACTCAATTTGAATTTGGGATTTCACATGTGCCGTCAAGGTCGATTTACTCAAATAATACTCAGGACGACTACAAAGGTTTTCAGGTCTTTGAGCTAATCTGAAGTTTCATGGAAAAAATTACTGCCAACGAGGCAAAATCATCCAGGTCATGGTCCTCACAGCAGGGATCCAACTACGTTCTGGGAAAGCACAGTTCTGGAAACAGCTACTGTTTACTTAAGCCATCACCAAGAAAAAAAGGCTGGGACAAAACTTTTCTGTGTACGAAAAGTTGACTACAGCTTAAAGACTTTGCGTCGTCATCAAACTCTAGACGGATTCGCAAGAAAATGTTTTAGGGAACTAGAGCAGGAACGTAAACTGATGACTAGGGATGTTAGCATGGTTATGTAATATTTGTAAGATCGTTATTTTGTCCTCTGATGATGAAAATCTGATAACACGATGTCTTGGTTTCGCCAAATTTGCTGGAATCGCACGTAGGGTCCTGAGAGGTTTACCTTAATCCTCTACCACAGCTCTACTTTAACACATCACACCTTCAAGTTTTCCCCCCAGTCGCACTGACTAGTGTGCAAGGAGGATCGTGCACAACGTATGAATCTACATTGGCAATCTGAATGGGTCATGACCGAGCAGCAACATTGCTCACTGAATTCAAAAGTGCAAGAAGAAACGAGCAAATCTCAACTGAGACAGAAGAATCCAACCCAGTAAAAATATATTCAACATCTAATATTAAAAGAGATTTTTCATAGTTTTGGTTGTCTGGAATCATTAAATTCCAATTACTGTGTTGCTAACCCCTAGTAGGTAAATATGATGTAGTCGTCTCCCCAGATACTCATTAATCCTTTAAAAGCACATCCTTCACACACACTTGGGAGATCCGAAAGTACTCCAAGCCCTAATGTGAACTTTTAAAAAACTCGACAAAACAGCACAAAAGTTGAAAAAAAATAAACCCCAAAACAATACTAGGATAACATACGCTTCATAGTTAGGAGTGTCCCTATCTCCTCTGCCTCATAAAAGCTTAATGTATCCAGGCTCTTAAAACACTTGGCAGGGAGGGCTCATTTCATCAGCGAAGAGAGGTTCGTGTTTACCACAGGATCTTCCCACAGCAAGACGAGGGAGGGGAGAACCATTCCGTGAGGAAACGGAACAGAAATATCCCATTAAATCTTTTAAGGTAAAGCTTCCATAAATATCCTGAGCCGAGTATTCCAAGTCACGTCTCTGTTTGTCTGCTCAAACAGGGCATTGTCCACTAACTGCTATGAGTTATTGGACGCTGTCATAGGCCAAATTCCTGCTACTTTTAAAGCACATTAGAGCAGGACAAAAGCCGTTTCAGCAGCGCAGGTCCACTTTATGCGTTAGGAATCTTATTAAACAAACAGTAACAACACAAGACAAACAGAGCACCTCTGCTGTAGCTGTGAAAAAGAAAATCTTGAATGAACGCCTCTCACGAGCTGTGAAAAAGAAAATCTTGAATGAACTCCTCTCACGACAACACAGAAAAAAAACACAATCATGTAGAAAGGAACCGCCTCACCTCTCTCACAGGTACTGCCCCAGAAACCAGAGCCGGTGCAGTCGCAGACGTAGCGGTTCCATCCTTCTTTACATGCGCCGCTGTTCTTGCACGGGTTGCTGTCACACTGTTTGCCCGTCGCCTTAGTACAAGAAGACCTTATTCCTGTCATGTTCTGGGACTGAGCTATCTGCCGGATGTCTTTGCTTCTGCCGTCGATGAACAGATCTCTGACGCAGCCCACGTAACCATAGTTAAGTATGGCGGTCCAAAGCTCAGTGGGGAGCACCAGAACCCCACGACTGTCCGGCAGGCCCCCCAAATAAAGGTCGCCCTCCAAGTCCAGGATCTCATTTTCCCCATTTGCGGTGAATGGCGTCCGACGACTGTTTACTGAGATGATGCCTGGAAAAGAAAAATTAAATGCTGTATGAATATGACCTATGACGTGACATAACAAAAACCAGTGTACGAGAATAGCGTTTTATTTGGTGCACATTTGTTATTCTTTTTAAACTAATCTGTCTTTGTGACAAAAGGACACAGAGGGTTTGAAATTTCTCAATGAAAAGTTTTCACAACTCAGAGGTGAACATGAAGCCGAGGCCCAGAAAGTTGAAAAAGAGGTCATCGGAAATAGCACGAGACTGTTTGCCTGAGCAGAAATGAGGTCTGGAAAGGTGGAGAGGTTTGACCTGTGGTTGTCAGCCAAAACTGGACTTCATGAAACTCTCAAGAGAACTCTATCTAAGTCACACTATTACAGACTATTACTCCAACAATAAAACCAGTCCTCAGACACAAGGGCAGCACAAGCTACATTTGCAACTATGAAAAATAGCAAGAGCATTGACGCAAATGAGAAGATTAGTGTCAGGAAGTTTAGGTAAGAAAAGACCTGGACAAAGTAAGGCCTGTGGGCCAAATACAGCCCACTGGGCTTTCAAGTCCAGCCCGCAAGATGGAAGCAGACATCAAATGTACCAAATTATCATTGAAAGTTTATTGTCAACTTCGACATCTTAAATCCATTCCTGGCACCAGTGAGTTTTTGGCTTCCAGGCCAACGTGGCATGTGTACAGAAAATAAGTCCTGAAAACACCTGGCACAGATGTATACACTGTGATCTCGATTGCGCTTAATATATATATAAAAAAAATCTCTTTATAATGTCTTATCACCTTCCACATTTTGAAGTCTAGTTTAGTCACGTTACAATTGCCTTTTTCACCAAACCTAAATGTTGGCTGTGGATGTAAAACTGCTGCTGCGTTGCAGGTAATCTCATTTTACTTGCAGAACAGTCACCTTGAATCCTGACGAGGAGCTGCAGTTTATGTGGACGGGACATTTTAATTTACTTTCAACTCTTATTAACATTTCCCTCAGCCCACAAGTGTGATTATGTCTGTTCTTAACCATCGCTCAATCTGCTATCCATATATCTGTCTCATTTCTCTTTTTCCTTGAGAAAATCCTACTTTCTGCTCCACTATCACACCAGGGTTTGCGCCGGTGATTAATCAAAGCAGCGAGCTCTGACACGCGGCTAAATTGGCTGCTCTAACCTGATATATAACACAGGCTGCGGTGCCGACGAACACATCCGAGTTCTCTGGAGGATCCCGACTAATGCAGAGATTGCACTGGTTTCGAAGCTGAGGGCGAAACACGTTTCCATCGCTTCCCTCAACTGTAATGTACTTTTAATGTATTTCTTGCGATTGTCCATGTGTTCGGGTGAGAGACCAAAAAAAAAAAAAAAAAAATAGAGGAATTAAAACACATAGAGAAGCTATCTTTACAGCACTACAATGCTGGTCATAAATCATTCCTGGAATTAATTAGTGGAATATATTTTCTCTGAAAGTGATGCAAAATAAACAATAACTAGATTGTTTATGGCTGCGCGTGCCAGCGCAGCTCTAATCACAAGGCTAGTCTGAATTGTTAGTCTGCTGCGAAAATAATTTCAGTAAACACTTCAGTAAACATGTTGACATTGGTAATTAAATCTAGATTATTGTAAAATGCGGCGTGTAGAGGCTTTAGTATTCATTTTCTGAATGGTTTATTTCTCTGAAATTAATTCAAATCATTATTTAAGTACTATAACAAATACAATTAAAGTGTTAGTTGATTGCTCATTTGATACAGTTTATTCAAACCATGAAGGAAGCTGCATTGATTTAAGTATTATTATGATTATTATGAATAATAATCATGATAATATGATAATATTATGATTATTATGAATAATAATCATAATAATATGATAATAAAAATTATTATCGTTGTTCTTATTATTATTATGTCATTTCTAATTTATTATTTTAAATGTATTCAGCACAATAATGAACTTAAATTATTCTTATCCGATGTCTCTGTTCTACAGTAACATATAAACACATATATTTAAATTCTTCTGTTTTTCTAAATGTCTCTGTAGCTTTACCTGAGCGACCGTCTCTTTGGATGTCCACGTGGTGCCAGCTGCCATCGTTGACCCTAGCCTGTGTGGCCTTGACCTTGATGGTCCCAGAGCCCATGTCCAGCAGCAGGTAAAGCTCTCCGTCCAGCAGCTCCACGGCAAAGAAGTCCACCTTAGTGTTCTTGGGGCCCCTGGCTTCCTGCCGGTACTGTGGTTTACCGTGGGTGAAGAGGATCAGCCCGTTGGGTTCGGTGGTGCGGAAGTCGAAGGAGATGGAGCCCACCCGTTTGGTGTTCCACTTGGGCAGGGCCAGGTAAGAATCAGGCGTCTCAAAGTTGATGGGGTCCAGCGTAGGAACATTTTCACACTTGAAGGCAATGTCCCCCTGCAGTTTCATCTTAGGGTCGACGATGCGAGCCAGGCGGGACAGCTCCAGACGGATGTCATTGTTCTTGTACACCACCTGTGAAGAAAACCCACAATAGTTGGCCTGTTAGAGGATGAGGCCAGTTCTTCTGTCTGTTTTCACTCTGGTGAATCGGAGAAGACATTTTTGCTGCCAATATAGTAGATTTTCCCAACCTGAATAAATTGTTTTCCTTCGCAAAACTGTCATCCCCCAAGAGCATCACACTCTGGCGATATTACAAATTGCCACTTGGAACAGCAGGATCAATAAAACTAATATATTAAGGTGTGCGAGGCCTAATCTGTTTCTTAGTCATTTTCTACTTCAGCTTCAATTTATCTGCAGTGAAATGAAGATTCTGCAGAAATCCATGACTATATTTTCAATTGATGGAACACCCAGCAAATGGACGAGGTGTGAGAAAGGATGGATAAATTATAGCACAGCTTCTAATTTAAGAAAAAGGCTCTATCCATAGGGAGCGCGGGGCCACCCAGATGTATACGTGACCCAATATCATTATTTTCCCAGGATAAATTCAGCTCAATCCCCGTAATCCATATACAGCAGGAGGCAGCGCGGCATCCCAGTCAAATACAACAAAATACCACTGAAAAAGAGAGCGCTGTATTGTCAATTGAAATTCGCTGAAGTGGAAAATTAATGTTTTTTTTCTTCCTTTCTCTCCATCCTCCTCCCCTTTCTGTGGAAGAAGGCAGACCTTGTTGTATGTAGGGCAGAATGTGTGCTGGAAAAGCAACACCGTAAAAGGGAGCACAGCTGTCAACTAACAGTTTTACTGTTGTGGGATTACAGATAATCCTGACAGATTTGACAGTGAATCAACACAGGTGACCCGAGCAGTGAAAAACAGCCAGGCAAGGAGATGACGGACCAATGAGAAAAGAGAAATAAAATGTCCGAAAAAGGTAGAACAGAGTAAAGTACATAACAGTTCAGTGTGTTTGGAGTCGACGGCAGGAATGACCTCACACTCTTGTATTGTACTGATGATCAGTTAATGTATGAAGAGAATAAATCCATAACACTGTTGGTGTTAATAAATAAAAGTCACCCTTGAATCACACAGTTATCTACTTTACTGTTTGTGCGGAAAACTTAAGGCACTTTCATAAAGCCGTGTTTTTTGTTTTTTTCCTGTCAACTTGCCTGTGATCAAAGTTAAGGTATGATTTAACATTCATCAAAGTGAATCTGACTCTAAGGAGCAGCAGCTTGAGGCTGTTTTCTAGAATTCAGACTTAAGGCTGAAATTCATCATTAAAAGAGCTAAAAATAAGACTTGTTTTTAGGCATTAATATTTCTAATATTTTTTGTTATAACATCAGACTGTTTTTGGTTAACTGTACTGTACACAATCATCCAAACCACCTTTCAACTCTTCAGACTGTACACAATCATCCAAACCACCTTTTAACTCGTAAAATTCATGACAATAGTTGGAGGTGCCACAGGTGTCATTTTGATGGAAATAAAAGCATCTATAAGAGGGGTGTCAAACATACGGCCCACGGGCCAAAACCGTTAAAAGCGCACAAACCCTGCCTGTTAGTGATGTTTTGTCAAAAACTTCACTAATATATTTTTACATATGTGCATGAAAACAAAGGGGTAAAACATGGACTTATTGCCATTTACAGGTAATTCTGTTATGATTGTACTAGTCGGAGCCCTGAACCAAAATGAGTTTGACACCCCTGACCTAAAACATTGTTGTACTTATCAAATAAAAACAGTGATGTTTTCTCTAGTATCGCACAAATATTCCAGCTCTAGCAACAACCATTCATTTCTCTTGAAAACAGGTCGTGACGTTTTCTCCACCATCCCTTTCAGTTAGCCTGAGGATGACTAGACACATGAAAAACATAAGAATATTCCTTTAAAGCATACCTTAATTATGCATTTCATTAGGAAAATTAATATCTTCTAACACTTTGATAACATCTGCCAGTAATAGCCCAAATGTGCCAACGCTTCAAGGTGCGCAGCATCCATCACTCCAAGACATTTTTATGCGGAATAATTAAGATTCTCTGACTCTGTTATAACACATGATTTAAATCTGAGCCACAACAGGCTGCCTGACAATGAGGAGTCATTATAGACTCTCCCACTGCGGTGTTATTCTGGGACATACTCATCTCGTCTCTAACCATCTCCGATCTGTTAGGGATTAGGACTTTGTCTGTTTTCCCACCGACTCGTCAATAGGCCAGTGGGAATGATGCTTAAAAAGAGGAAGTGACTCTTGGAGCTATAGGTTCATCTTTTCCTTTGTTGTGGCTCTGCCTTGCATCACTCCCCCCCCCCCTACTATATCAACAGCCTTATAGGGTCCATTCATAATGCAGACACAAGGGAGTGTAACGACTCCATAAAGCCACGATCTTTCATCTCTGCTCCTGCATGGTGTATTGATCGGGCTCCGGTCTGGCTTCAGGGGGGGAGCAGGGTTGGGAAATGGTCGGGTTTGTCGAACGTGCGCACTGAGCACACGTACACACACTATCTACACACACGCTAAACCCTCTTCATGATCTATTTTCAAACTATATATGAAGATTATCCCAATTTGAAACAATGCACTAGATTTCACAGGAAGAACGCTGCAGCTTATGTTCCTACTTTACAGATGATGAAGATAAAAAAAGCAGCCTAGAGTCCTACAGCACTTAGGTGTGTGTTTAGAAAGGCAGCATGAATCTACCAAGCCATTTAGTTCCTAATAAAGGAGTAGTTGTTTTGAAAGTGAGTTCCTCACTTAATTAACTCCTTGCACTCTGCATTATATATATATGTATGTATATATATATATAAATGGAGAGAGAGACACAGGGAGAGAGAGAGAGAGCATATACTATGTATACTCATATAAAGGGAACATAATTATACATACATTAAATGTTGGTTTACTGTGATTTAAAGCATGTAAAGTTGTACAGCCGTAGCCTTAGAGTTGAATTTAAACTTCAGTTTGTTTGTTTTTTTTTTTATTTATCATTTAATTACTCATGAATAACCAGCACTCCCTTTTGGAATCTACTGGTAGACTGAACGTTGATTTCTGAAGTAATTCCTTCAAAACGGATATTTTAAACTGACCAAATAAATTACAATTATAAACTGGTGCAAAAATTATAAAAGTGAAATTTGGTTACCTAGCTGTGCCCCGCCCCCTATTTTGGAGACCATGATATAAGATGAAAAAATTATGTTCGTTAAATTTCATTAATTTCAACCAATCACTGCTCAAAAGGAATACTTAAAAAAAAGAGAATATTATAATTCTCAAAGACAGTAGACATTTTGATTTTTATAAGTTGGGTAAAAATAGCACTGGCAGATTGTTATTGTGGGCACTGAATCTCTGTCTCCTGATTTATTCATTATTCACTTAACCTGCAGCTAAGTATTTTGTTTTATTTATTCTGGTTCTTTTTTACACATTGGCTTTGGTTCTAAAAGTCTCCATGTCAATTCCCATACTTGCCCTCATCCTGCTACCTCATTAGCAGCTTCTTGCTCTCTCTCAGCAGAGACGGCAGCATGCCCCCCCACCTGCCCTACACATGATTTAACACTCAGAGCTCTAAACTGCACCGGTGTTGTAGTGGATGCCCGCTGAAGCCAGATTGAGGCTCGGCGTCCTGAGACCTTGTGATGATGATGATATTATATAGGAGGCTAACCAGAGCAGGGCCTACGTTCCAGCACGTAACTCCCTCTGCGACAACCCTGGTGGTTAACATTGCAAAACACAAGTATGTATGGCATCCTGTGGAACAAAGGAAAAGTGTGGGAAGGTTGAGCTGGAGCGAAGGCTCAGCAAAAGACTGGCTGTGATGGCAGCACACGGGGAAAAAAAAAACTTTTGTTGTCAGACAGAAGAGAAAATAATGTATTCACTCACCACAGCAACACATGCCTCCTTCAGCTTATTCATCACACCTTTTCAACTTTTCTGCTTCCTTAGCATTTGAGGTGCTTGAGTCAGACCGTACACACACACACACAGATGAATACTCATGCATTTTGATCTAAGCAACGGGCGAATCTCAACTGAATCATTCTGCTATTACCTAGGGGTATTGAATTCAAAGGAACAGGTGAGGGGGCAGAGAGAATAAATAAGTGGCAGAGAGAGAACTAAAAATATGGTTCACAGCCTAATGGTCGACCTCAGAGATGATATTCAAACAATGTCATTTGGTTCAATGGTTCTTGATAAGGAACTTGGCAGCTGCCTTATAAGGCAAAGCGCTAAATTATCAGCGCACCCAATCAGGAAGAGAATAACCTCCGTGTTAAATGACTCACAAGCGATGCTCTCAGGGGCCAGCTAACGCCGAGGTACAGTCATTCACCGCTGATCATATTGGAACAAATGGGAGATAAAAGCGCCTCAACATCGCCGACTGTGACATCACACATCAACGCAACGTCAATGTGTTTAATTAAACTCTGCGGTCTTAAACAGGCATAACAGTATGAGGCATCATTAACATGGCCGACACCTTTACGCAGAAACACATGAAGGAGGCCGGCTGAAATGTAATACTTCGAAATGGGTTTTTACTGTATATTATGAACGCATTTGTTAAATGAGTACGGCAAATTAACACACCAACCCTAGCAGCTTGGATTTACACAGGGTTGGTCGGATTCTCCAGCTATTAAAAAGTCCTCTTCAGGTATTTTGAAAGAAAGAAAGAGAATTATAAAAAGTCCTCTTCAGGTATTTTGAAATCTCAAAGAATTGAATCCAAAGTTTAAAATCTCTGAATAAGAATTTAAGGATATTTAGTAAAAAACTTTTAATTTTTTTTACTAGTGCTCCAAAGTAATGAAAAGTTTAATGGAGAAACCAATAGTAGCGACACAGAAACTGCCCGTTTGTTCAATCCTAATGTGCTCCCCAACAGTACCTGCCCTATTTTTAGCACTTGCTCCAGAATAAGTAACGTACAGCTAATGTTAATAACCAGGGATTTAATATAAATTCAGCCCTTGCTCACGAGCTCTCGGCGCCAGTAAATGCATTAGAAATGTCTGGAAACAACGGCGCTTTTTTCGTACTTCATCAAGCAAATATTTCTTTCAGACTGCTGCCCGTTGGGAGGTGTTTTTGCTGCGCCCTCCAGCCGACGCTGCAAATTACATGTGACAGAAGCAATTTTGGGATACTTTCTCACACACAACAAGCGCAAGTGTTATGAATTAAATTAGGCAAGGGAATACCGGGAGTCTGATACGCCCTCTGCCAGCTCAGCAGGTTTAATTGATAATGCAATTTTGTTTCCTTCCCTTTTTCATTTCCTTGGGAGGAAAGTAGGCTGATTATTATTTCTCAGCACATCTAAAAACAGCTGCTGTGGCAGAATAAAGATAAAGCAGTTGTGCGTAAGCCAACGGTTCCAAATGCAGGAATTGGAATTTTATGCAAATGAACAGTTGATACAGTACAAAATATGAGGAGCCGACAAAGTCACACGTCTGTTCTCTCTCTGTGTTCAGCTCCGCCTACCTCTCTGAGGCAGCCCATGAAATTGTTGCTAACAGGAGATCCTGGCAGGTCCGCGGTGCTGGGGCTCCCACCCACGTAGAAGAAATCATCAGAGCCCAGCATGGTGTAGTCTTCCTGAGTGTAGCCCGTGGTCGTGAGAATCCCATCCACGGATATCGTCACCTGTTAAGGAGCGAAGCATAGCCAGAATCCAGGCATTACAGTCTGGCATTCGACCTCAGGCTGTGTAAAACACACTTACTTCCTTGGTCTGCATTTCAAATGAGCGTTTGTTTTTTTTTTATCCACTTTTTGGTTTTACACTGCAGGTTGTTTCACGTTTTTCGTGCGGAATCATTCGATACCTTGAAGCGATTGTTTTGGACCAGACAGTGTTTGGAATTCTGTTAATGGAATTTTTTTTTTTTGCCATTGGATTCACAGGACAGGTAAAGAAAATATGGCTCAGGCATATTTTCTTTATCTTTGATGGGGGTAAGAGAATGGATCCTGGGTTTGGTTTGGAAACTTCAGGTTGAAGGAGGGTTAGTACAATGTTCAAACCAAGGACAAATTGACTGGACTTGTCTTAGGTTTTTGGGTTTATCTGTTAACTGCAGACACACATATAGAGTACACACACGTGGACAGAAGCTCGCACACCGACGTGTGTGTGCACGCCTTCACTCACACGCACACACACGCGCGCACCATACACTCTCCCCTCTCTCTCACACGTCTACGTCTACACACATGCAAACAGAAGGAGGATTACACAACATCAATGTGCAAACCAAGGTTAACACTGTTCAAAGGCAAACTTAACACACTTATTTGGACATGTGAGGGAGTAGGTGAATCGATGTCGCCATACAGAGCTGCAGCTGAAGGCCACAGAGGGTGCAGAGGCTCGTGCACAATCAAGACCAGAGCTCATAATCAAAGACACTTTAAGAAGAGCTAAGGCTGATCTCTGATCAGGTTTGGTTCAGGCGTCGTACAGCTCCTTGTCACTGTCACTGGACAAACCAGTAATCTGAGATCAGTGCGCTTAATCTTAAAATGTTCCGCATATGAGCCCGGGCTTAACGGTTGGTCAAGGTTAGCCAGGACACACAGACACAACTTTCACCAGCATGCTACAAAGACACACACGGGGGGAGGGGGCAAAGTGAATGAAACAGTGATGAGTGGAGAGGGAAGTGAGTGAATTAGAGTGTTAGTGGTTATTTTGGTTTACAGGGGGTTTATGACTTTGGGAAGGGGAAGGTTAATGAGGTGTGGGCATGCCATGCGCCATAGTGAGTTGGAAACAACTGTCAGAGACTCCGCAATGATATTCAAGGGTTGCCTTTTTTTTTTTTTTTTTTTTTGTAGATTCTCTTTTTGGGCTCGTTGTTGTGGTCACCATCTTTGGGATTGTGGCAAGCTTCTGTCAGTTCTGGATGACAGTCCTCACAAAAAATGGGGACTTTGTGTGCAAGAAAACAAAAACTTAGCCCTGACGAGGGCAAAGAAGTTATTCTTTTTTTTTTTCTTTTTAAACTTGGAAATCTGCAATAATGTGGAAGAAAGAAAGAGTAAAAAGTAAAAGCTAAAAAGAAATAAAAAACAGGATGGGGCACTGTGGGGTAAAAGGAAGGCTGTTGGCAGGTCAAGGGGGGAAATTGAGAAGAAGCGAAGAAACAATTGCCTGGTAATACAAACCCATCTCCTCATTTTTTGATAAGAGTGTCTAGGATGAAACTTAAAGAGAACGAAAAAGAAGAGAGGGGGAGGGGACACACGGCAAACCCAAAAAAAAGACAATAAGAATGATATCTACCAGACAATGTAGTTTGTTTACCATAGCGTGTCCAATGCCTGATTGCTTTCCAGAAAAAGGGGAAGAAAGGAAATCAAAAAAATAGTGAACAAAAAAGGTTGTTAATAATGATGGACAAAAAACAAAAAAACAAAAGCAATGGTGAATTAGGATGTTAGTTAGTTCGTTAGTACATTAGTTGGTTAGATATTGGTTAGTAGTTAAAAAAAATGACTTTATCATGAATGAGTTAGTTGGTCTGTGAATAAACACTACATCATTTTTAAGAGATTCGCTGCTGAGCAAATGTCACCCTTTACGGCTGCGATAAATAAGAGGTCTCCGCGGTAGGAGACTATTAGGTACCAATCAGTGTAGAATGGACGAAATCCTGACAAAATATGTAGTGTTTCTTTCACATTCAGTCTGTAAAAATGTTTCCTCCAGAAAAGGAAAGAAAGAGTCAGAAAGATAGATCGTGGAAAAGAAAGAAGAGGAAGCCAGGAAAGCTCTCTGCTCTAAACGTCCTACACTCGTGGAATCTCGTCTAAAGCTGTTCGCTAACCTGTGGGGGCAAAAAAAAAAAAAACCTAACGTTAAGGGAGTGTCAGGAAAAAGGCACTTACTTGTTGTACTGCTCTGACAGCAGCGCTAAGTGCTGTCTCACCTTGCAGAAAAACTAGGACAACGAACGGCTCGGCGTCTCCTCAGATATACTGTATTTTACCTCCCTTCAGGACTATCACCACGGTTTTACGTTCTCTCTTCTTTTTAACATTTCACCATTATACAACATTAGGCTGAAAAAGAAAATCTGTGTAGTAACACACTGACTCTAAACAACCCTTAACACCATCTGGTTAAAAAACTACTTACTTAAAACTGCTATTACTTCAACTTAAATGTCAACATCATTGGGGTTTTTAGACCCACTAAAGAAAATAACTAAACTTAAAAACTCAATTATTGAGGAGTTTCCTGTTGGTTTCTCCTCATCCGGTAGAACAAAAGCTCCAAATAAGGAAATGTAAGTACTAAAACTGAAACGTCAGTAGTGAAGATGGAATGACAACCAATTTGAACATGACTTCCTCAATGCCGTCTCTTCGTTAAAAGCTTTTTGGAAGCAGATAGTTGAAAAGCAAAAGTAAAAACAAAGGAATGAAAAAGGAAAAGAAGTCCATCAGTCACTACACTTCCTGCTTTCACTGTGACCCGCGGTTACCTGTCTCAGGTTGCGTGTCACTTTGATGTCGTGCCAGGAGTTGTCATTGAATTTTCCATTGACCGGCTCAACGATAGCCTCAAAGGCCCCAGAACCCAGATTAATAACAAGCGATACCGCCCCGTCTTTCAGTGCCAGGTTGACATAATCGGCAGATTTCCCCGTGTGCAGAAGGAGGCCGTTTCGTTGCCAGGTTTTGAAGGACAGCGTGATCTCGTCGCTGCTGCTCTGGATGGGGTTCTGCGACAAGTCGTAGCAGAAGTACTCCGAGCCGCGGAAGGTGGCCACGTTCTCCTCCCTCACTGTAACAAAGAAGGAGTAATAAGGTTAGGACCCTTTTTTACATGGGGGATACATTTCAAACACTGATACACAGCAGGTACAGTAGCTGAGTGCCAGTTATTTGCTCGGCGAATTTACATGTAAAACAAGCTTCTTATTTGTATTGATTAGTTTTGAAGCAGCTTCGATAAATATGAGAACTGCTGCAGAGAAGGCTGCATCAAATGAACACACAGACAAACACACACACACACACACAATCCACATCCTCACCATAATTACAGCAATGATAATCCCATTATTCAGTTGAGATCATAAAATCCTATCTGTACGACTGTGGGTTTAGGTTTCCATACAGCCTCTAGACAGACAGACGACTCGTGATGGAACACTATTCCCCGCTAATGGCGCGCATAAATCAAACTTAGCATGATTTTACAGGTTAATATCACTCCACTTCTGTAAAGTGACTTCCTGTGCTCATTTTTTATACCAACACAGGGAGTAAGGTGAGACCAGACAGCTCGGGGGAGAAAGTGATGACGCAGAGGCGATGGATTATATGGTGGGAAACCATAACCTCAAACAAATATTTAAAAATAAGCTTGAAAGAAGAAAAAAAAAGTGCTTGGTTAGTAGAGACTATGTTCTCGGTCAGTATAGATATAGTAATTCATTAGGATAACATAACTGCTAATATCTAAGGTCATTTGAAGGTGATTCTATTAAAAATTAGAGTCAATATTTATAACGTGTTAGGGCAGAGTGTGCAGCCAACTCAAGGCTAGGAGTCAAAAATTCCAGGAATTGTTTTTTTTTTTTTAATTATGACATTCAGAAGAAATCCCATCAACCCACTGTGGCCCTTGGTAACAGTTACCATGTCATTAACTGCCAACAAAACAATCTTTTATTTCCTCTGTGTCCTGTTTCCTCCCTATAATCTCTCTGCAAAATCTTGGGGAGTCAAGAATGAAAGGACAGAAAACACAAGCTGCAAGACAGGAGAGAGAAGGAGAGCGGGGGAAAGAAAACAAGGCTGGAGGCTGTAAAGCTTCAGACCGTTGTTTTGGATCGGGCTTTATGTAAACACGAAGGAGCAGCGTTGTTGAGCTGCAAAAGAGCTGCGGGAGGAGAAAAGAGCGGAGAGAGGGGGAGAGTTTGAGGAGAGAGGATAGACGAGGGTTTATCTCAAGGAGAGGAACACAAAGAATGAGGAGGAAAGAGATTGAAAAATGAAGACAAAGTCACATCGGGCTGTGGAAGGATTGCTTCTAAGCCTGATCATCTGAAAATTACCCTTTGACGCCAAACTTTTGTAGAGGCAAGAAAAAAGAAAAACAAACATCACCCACGAAACGAGGGGATGAAAGGAAATGCACAATAACCAACAACGCACTTCTAAGATGGAGAACAATTCACCTGAGAGAGGAAAAAAAATCATTGTATATGATGTCATGCACCTGGGATATTTAAGGTCAGGGAAGGTTTTTAAGGCTACATCAAAATACCCTACTGTTTTACAGCATATGTGTCAAACTCAAGGCCCGGGGGCCAAATGCGGCCCGCCTGGAGGCTTAAAAAACATTTAGTAAAGTTCATGCAGAAGAGTTTCTTAACCTGAGATCTTTTTAGTATTGAAATGTATACAGCCAGACTTAAAGCATGCTATTAAAGTATGAGTGAATTAAAATTTATATAGATATATAAATATATAAATATATATTGTTGTTGATGTTGACTTTTTTCTTACACATATTTTCCATATTTTTTTTCACGTTTTATGTTCACCCTATAAAAAGGTTGGCCGTGTCTGCTTGACTCCCCTTGTGCTTTAATTAAATTGATATAATTACAAAATTGCCGCACGGACTATCACTGTAACACTGCCCTTATGAATAATAGAAGGCGAAAATGATATAATGTAATATTTGTGCACCTCAGCAATATTAAACCTGTGGTAAGTGTATACGGATCCATAAAAGCCAGGGGGGACGTATTGCCTGTTGAGACATGTTCTGCACAGATGTGTGGCTTTCATATCGATCATACAGCTGGGTCATTTTCCCTTATTTTCGCCACGGTCATCAATATTCCATTTGTGTGCTGCCCGGCCCCGCGCACTGGGGGCTAAGGTTCGATTTCAAAATCCACTGGAAGCAATTAGCTCCTTCATTACCATCTTCCATTCTCTTCCGTTCCCTCCTCAGCCCACAGACACACACACGTACACACGCCGTCTGAGTTCACCCTCCTGTCTGAACCCAAGGGGGAACTGGGCACAGAGGCGCGGTCCACTCTCAGCGCTCCGGTCCACAACCTTAACCCCCGTTATGGCATGATATTAAAGTGTCCTTGATTGCTAATTAAAATTAAGACGCGTGTAGCAAGAAGGGTTAGAGTATGCATCCAGGCAGAAGGCTAGCTTTAGCTGGAGAAACACACTGCATAAACCACGGGGTGCTTAGAAGTAGATTGCGAGCGGCCGCTAGATTGCAAAGGGAGTGCTGGTAGATCATGAGCAATAAATTATATATAATATAATGTCAAAAAGAAATCCAGATTTTTTTGTTAAATATAAGCCAAAATTTGATCATGATTTGGTAAAATGACATTGAGTGACTGTTGTAGCCGACCCATTTTCAGGTGTTAAAAAAAAAAAAAAAAAACTACAACAAATCTGTCCTCTTCCCTGCAACTTTCAAGATGTCACACATCACAAAGGTTGAAATGAACTGTCACCCTTGACACATCTCATCAGAGCTGCAGAGGACAACGTGTCTGGGACTGCCTCGAATGTCTGTTTGTGCACAGACTGGGGAGAGACGAGCGACAGACAGAGATAAAGAATGGAGTGTACACAGAATTGACGAAACAAAAGAGTTAAAAAAAAACAGGAAGAAGATGGAGACAGTGAGTGGGCAAAACAACAAAGAAAAGCTGAAAGAGCGTGGGAGAGACAGAGATATGGCGAGAGCTGGTGGCAGATGGAGGGAAAAAGTGAAAGAGGAATTTATTAGATCTCTGCGAGAGAAGACAACACTGTTTGGACCAAATGAGATGAGGTCAGTGAGTTGCCGGGCAAAAAGTCCCTGACACTTTTTTGAGGCACAGATTGAGTTCATGAATAAAATTATTCTCAAAAACAGTAGTATTTACGCTTTCACAATTTAAAAACAGGACTTTTATTTTGACAAGCATCAAGAAGCATTTCAAAATAAAACATATGTCATATTCCTTATAAATTAAATGCAAATAAAAAGGTATTAGTTTTTCTCTGCTGCCTGCAAATGACCATATGATCTATGGTCAAGTTCTGGTCCATGAACCAGTGGTTGGGAACCTCTTTTAAAAGCTGACAGGTAGCCATCTTGTGTTTAGAGTTTGCCCTGAAGCGCAGCATGACAGAATCACATCACAGCGGCTTCTTGTTTTTACACACTGATGTTAATTTCACCCATAAAATAAAAAAAAGTTTCCTTCAGTTCGTAAGAATTGAATCCAAATCTTTTTGCGCAGACCTCCTGCTGACAAACAAACAGCAAAGAGACGATCTAATTCCATCATTAACTAAAACAGCGGCTCATTTGCAGCGATATTCACAAAGTGAATGAATGAATTAAATCCAGCTCAACTTTAGAATGTTTTCAGTGGCAAAAAAAAATCCAAAAACAAAACTGCTGCAGGGGAGAAATGAGGCAGATTGAAGCATGATTTATATTTTGTTGAGAGACACTTTTGATAATGATCGCTCCACAAAACATAATGAGCCACATAACGCTCGCAATTTATGCTCATAAAAGTTTCAGTCGTCTCCCTGTAACCATACACTCCTCCAGCTGTTGCCAGCGAAAACCCGATCCTTCTGATCAGTGTTTGGTTCTGTCCACACATCTCTGTTTTACTTCTTGACTTATGTATATGTGCATGTATATGTATGTATGTGTATATATGTGATGCGGTTTTGACAGAAAGACCGGGGGGTAGGGGGGTATGTATGGTCAACGATGGAGGGACCGGGGGTGTCTAAAGGAGGTGCCTTCAGTCCAATCCCATCAACTGAGGCAATTGTGCAGAGCAAATAGTGAAGTCTGGAGGCAGGGGATGAAGAGGAGTTTCCAAAGGAGCGAGACAAACAAGGCAGAGTTGCAGTGACTGCACTTCCATTACCAGTGGCGGACGATTACAGTGGAGTAATATTTAAAAATGAGAATGGAATGGTCCAAATCCTTAGTTCTTACTTTATCATCTCAGCACTTGGGCTGAAAAACAATGTGTACGTGCTTAATAAACAGTATGGATGGAAGTCTTGCAGTTTGAATTTGAGCATAGAAGATTCTTTTTTTTTAGTCTTTGCCTACAGTTTGAATTTGAGCTTCTTAGAAGCTTCTTTTTTTTTAAAATTATTTTCCACTCCAATCTGCATATATTTAGCATCTGATTTATGAAAGCAGGATAGGATTATGCGCTCGGGCCGGACGGACTGCTGTGAACACATATTAGAGGACTACAGAATGAGAGCGCTCCAAAGTTCACCAGTCCTGCAGAAACACTGAAGAGCAATGGTGTTGAAAATTAAATGCCACGACGTTCTGAAATATGCACTGAAGCCAAAGTTAAATAAAAAAAAAAAAAAGATCATAAGACATCAAATACTAACTTGTTTACTTCTACTGTAACCTGCTGATTCAGTCAGTGGGATCAAACGTAAGGTGATTAGAGCGTCTAACTTTATTCTGCCTATTTATTCGCCTAATAAATAAAGATATGAATATATACACAGGAATGTTCACTTTACTGTAATTCACCATGTATTTAATTTAAGTCATTGAACTGCACTGGAATGCAAATAGACTGTTATATGTACAATAGGTGGTTTGAATGTTTACATTTTATTTCAGATGAACTGATGTTCAATTGATGTTGAACTAGTGATTTAAATGCATCTTCCCACGCATCGCTCCAGATTTACATTTGCTTCTTTTTTTGCTAACATTTTTTTACCATAAAATTGATTGAG